AAAAAAAAAAAAAAAAACTAAGAAACAAATAATTGGCTTGAAAAAAAATCTTGACTTCGTCAAAATACGAAAGTAAAGTTTGCCATAGATGTCTGCATTTTCAGATTCATTGACTAATGCTAGCAAAAGAGGGATACGCACTAAGAAGATATTTCACCTTCTTTTGGGTCCATCCTCTGCTAATCACTCTTGTTTTTCAGTTCTAAGACAATTTAAATTCATGCAAAAAGAGTTGAAGTCTCTACCAAAACTTCAATTTTGATCATAAAGAATCCTAGAAACAAAATCACTATACATTCTTAAATATCTGTATGCTAGGCATTTGCTTCATTAATAAAATATCACAGTTACCTGATAATATTTCAAATGTGGGTATTCGATGATGACTCTCAGTATGAGCACAGTGAGCTGGTCCTGCAGCGCCACTCTCTGCTCATACGGAATGCCCGGAGGAAACCGCTTCAGTGAACGATTCACATCTAATACCACCTGCAGATATTTAGTTTCAAATTTATCATAGCTAATTAAATGCGGAGATTCTAAGATTCATTGTTTGATAAAAACTTTCCATAGGAAAAAAAGTTTTTCTTGAATCTACCTCAAGTTGACAATGTTACATTTCTTATGAGATATTAGTTGGTTTAAGTTAAGTCTATTTAGCATATAAATATCATCATCTCATACCGGTTCCCACCAAGGAATGTGAGCTGATTTTAAATTAGAAGTCATTAAGATATAATAAATACAAACTTGGTTATATTCAACATGTGTGGACAATTCATCAAGTGAAGGAGGTTCCGTCATCTCCTCTCGAGTTACACCAACAAGCAGCGGCCAAATTCTTCTCCTGTATTCATCTGTCACACAGGAAATTAATTCATATAACACCTAAACAGACACCAAAGCAACAAATTTATATTGAATATATAAAAAATGTTGTATTATTTTTCAAACATATCGTAAATAAGCTATGACATTGTGGTGAGTGAACCATAACACCATTAATTAAAAATTAAGACATAAATACCTGCTATTAAACCTCCTTTGCTTTTAGCAAAATGTTGCCACTCTTCTATGTTCACGATATCAGGGTTTTCCAAACATCTCTCCATTTCTTTCCGTTTTGCAGTCACGTCAGGATCCTCGAATTCAAAATCTTTAGAAGAAACATAACAAGTGATATAATAACTACACTCAACTTATTACTTTCAAGAAAAGACACAGGTGAAAAAGACACTAATCAGGTAACTGAAGTGGTAGGATAATATTGTTATAGGTCATTGAATCCTAAGAAATACTGATTGTTTACAATACCTTCGTCGAATTTAAGCTCGGAAGGCGTAGATATGTCATCAATATTTTTCGCATGATTCAAGTCGATAGAGTTATTCTTCGTCGGCGGTGAACAGTTCCCATTTAAATTACATGTGTCGCCTATGTTTGATTCTTGATTTTTATCTTCCATTGTAGAAAATTGAGATTTATTCGAGAAAAAACATTACACCATCCTCTTCCTTAGAACGTGATGACACTTCGTTTTACGTTTGTTAACATACCAAATGTCACGACTAAATACATCATTTAAAAACTTTTAAAATTCACATTATTGGTTTGTGAAATATAGTATAGTTGAACTTAAATACTCCTACAGCAGTAATTGTCCTTTATACTATTTTAAAAGTACAAAAAACTGAACTTAAAAAAGTTGAAAAGAGTTAAAATCCCGATTTTTGAACGAGCCTGTTTCCTGAAATGACAGAAAAGTTCCTTTCTACGCAACAACTCAACATGAGAAATCTAAAAACTAAACGATTTTGTTTTAATTTTTTGTCACAAATATTTGGAAAAAAAATTGACAATGTCATTGATAACCATCTGGATTAATTAAAATCATACAAAAGTGATTAAAAAAAGGATAAATTTCTTATGAGTATCTCACCTTTATTCAAATGGAATTAAAAACTATTCCGGATAACTCCAAAATCAGACAAATTGAGGATATTATAGATATTCAAAAGGCTAACGGAAATATTAATGTTCGGCAAGTGGCTTTTAATTTGATTCCTAAAACAGATAGTAATATTTCGGCGAATTTGGCAAAGAGCTTAGATTCTGGATTATCAAAACTGAAAGCTAACATACTTAAGAATAACAAAAAGGTAAGCCACAAGAGGAATCTAAGTCCTTCACTAGATGGAGCATCTTGGCCTAGTGATTCAGACGTCACAGTACTGAGAATGAAACTGTATTTAACCCGCGCGGTAAAGAAAGATGTGGGTAATGTGATCCCAGGAGACGGACTCCATCAGCAGGACAGCTCGTCTATGATTAATTTAGCAACACTTATGATGAATTCTCAGTCTCCGTCGAAACAGAATTTAAATATCGAAGAGTATCTATTACCTATTAATTCATGGGAACAAAATATGAAACCAGAATCAAATGAGTGTGTAAAGAAGAAAAGGAACACACATTTCCCCCGAGATAATTTCCAGTTACCACATGTTTTGAATATACCTGATAATTTTCGCTATACACAAAATGAATTATGTTTAAGTGACAATAATCTAATGTTTGGTAATAATATTAAGGCTAAATTGGCAAGATTTTTGCGTTTATACTTTTGTCCTTGTTGTACATGTTTATACAATTTGGAAAATATGCAAAACGAACCATCATCGTATTTCACAAAAAAAGTAACGTTCATGGATGGCAAAAGTTCTTGAGTGTCTTTTTTTTCTAATAATTTCAAACCAACAAAAGGTTAATGTCTTTAATTAAAATAAAAAAATAGTTTAAACCTGTTTTATTGAAAAACTGAAACGTCCTTAATAGACATGCGACATTTAATAATAGAGGAAATTAGTCAACGATTGAATGTCAACTATAATTGAGTTTACATGCGATTTAAATATTTATGATATAATAGCTTACATTACCTTCATGATTTTAAACAATACTTGTCAAGGGCGGCAAAAAATATTGTGGTAATTTAACAACTAGACCCACTGTCGTTACTTCGTAATATAGGCAAAGATCTAGGCGCGAAACTAAAACGGAAAATTTCGGTCATCTTGGCATAAAGGTTTTTATTCAGTTAACCTGTTTAAGATAGTTCGTGCTAATTTAAAAAAAAACATATCGACGAATTGAATACCTCCTTCTTTTGGGAAGTCGGTCAAAAAAGTAAAGTGAGCCCTCGCAATAAATTTATCGGTTCATTATAACCTAGATAGATTTTTTAAGTGCAACATTACATCACTGTATTAAACCGTCCCAATAAACCAGTTAATATTTTCTTTATTTGCTACTGATCTCGAATAAGTTCTTAAAACATGATAATTGCGTCAGCGAGCACTTTGGCCACCGCATTGTCGTCGATTAAATTGCTTTATGATCACTTTCGACTTTTCCGACATCCGCGAATCGATCGGTCACTTCACACTTCAGTGGCAGACGAAATTAATTTTAAACTGCCAACCGTTTGAACACTTCCTTTATACCTATATTAATTTGAAAATATCTTCGTTTCTGTAGTTAACATTTTTTTGTCTTCTAAATTCTCTAAACCAAATACATTTTTAATAATAGACAATAGTAGTTGTCCACAACTTCGTTAATCCCAAACTATCAAAAAAAAACAAAGTTGGTGTTTCTCAAATATTTGTGCGATTTTTATTGAATTCATCCGATTCGTTGTATTATTGGCAAACAGTTGCATTTCTTTAGCCCCACATTGGCTTGGCGTCGCGTAGCCAGCGCCTCGGCAAGTTATAAAGCGCAGAGAAAGCGCGCCGTCCGCGCAGTCTCTTCCCGCTCGGCCGCCTCGCTCCGGCCGTTTCGCGCGCTTTTCTGACAGTTCCTGTGTTGCTACACGACGAAATTAGTGAATTAATCAAAAATGAAAATAAGGTAAATATAATTATGTCTTTACGGTCTATGATTTTTAATAGTATTTTTACGTTTTGTTCTAGTTAATTCTGTTAATACGATAATTAATATATTTCTTTCTTGGGTATAAAATAAATAGTAAAAATTCATGAAATTATGTAAAAAAACTTTCTTTTAAATTTAAACAGTTATCTATTTTATTAATTGAGCGTTGTCTAAAATAATAACAAATGCTTTTAATTGGTACTTTCTCTTTCTACAAACGATATACATATGTGCATACTTAAATGAATTAAATACGGTTATCTTCTTAATTACGCTATAATAAACATGAAATGGATACGTAAAGTATGCAAACGTATTCTTTATAATATTAAAAACACTTTCGCTACAATTTTGACTTTCACTATGACTTGTTACATTGCTCTATAGTAATGAAGATCCTTTTAGAAATAAACATATCATATAGACTATATTTTGACCGCGACGTCGACCGCGCGGAATTAATACATATTTGCCAGTAGCCTCTGCGTATAACTATGTTCTACATCTGTGCTAAATGTACTCGAGATTTATTAAACCGATTAGGAGATACAAAGTAATACAGATCCATCAATGCATTTGTATTTTTATTATAGTGTGCCAGTATAATTAAGCGTAATTTAGTACTATTTAGGTTTTAATATCGAAGTATCTATTAATCAATATCTAAAGAGTATTTATAAAACGGAGCAACTTCTAAGTGTTGTTTAATACGCGGATTGATTACGATGTAATCGTTGATTATGATCAGATATGCAAGCGAATTATGTCTAACGTAAGTTCATAATTGCGAGCAACAAAAAGTATCAGAATTATTCAATAATGCAGCAATGTATTCAATAACAAATCATCCGAAAACGGAAACGTACTGTGTGTTACGGATATTGTAGTAATGAGCTCTAAAAGTGAATTATTTAAATACTAGCTTTAGCACCCGACTCCGTCCGCGTGAAATTAAAAAACAAAAAACTAAAATGAGTAACCTATGTGTTCTTCCAGAATATCCTCTACATCTACACCAAATTTCATAGAAATCCGTTCAGCCGTTTAGGCTACAAACTCTAACAAACATCCATCCATCTAAACTTTCGCATTTATAATATTAGTAAGATTATAAATGCGAAATTTTAGATGGATGGATGGATATTTGTTAGAGTTTGTAGCCTAAACGGCTGAACCGATTTCGATAAAATTTGGTATAGATGTAGAGGATCGTGTCGAAGAACACATAGGCTACTCATTTTTGCTTTTGTAATCCCAAGCGGACGGAGTTGCAAGGGAAAGCTAGTATAGTATAATTGACTCGGTTTTAAGTTTATTCTAAGCAAATGCAATTTGAATGGTTACTTTTCTAATCTTTGTCGTTTCGATTTATAAATTACTCTTTATTTAAACTTAGCGCTAATTAAGGAATAGTAATTCTAACTTAGGTCTTATTTACATTGATGTTATCATCACCAGTTAACTATACCGTTCCCACTGATGGGTTCGGAACCTACCCTAAGAGAAATTGATGTCAATTGTCTAAAAAATTCCATTTTAATCGAGCATATTCATTGCTTTAGCATCCTGCGTTAACAAAAAATCAATTTGAAGACAATTGATGTTTATTTTGTCGTAATTTAAAAACTAAACTTATCTTTAGTGAGGATCTACAACAAAGTTGAATTATTATAGTCATGACATTAATTATAACTAGCTGTTCCCGTGCGGCTTCATCCGCACTAAATTATGAAAATTTTATTTTGTTGTTTACGTAAGTGTAGGGCTCTTTAATAAAAAAATAATTATTCAAAAATACGCTGTACTTGCTGACATCTTAGGCAACAAAGTGTGTGCTTACGCTTTATTATAATATTATAGATAGCTTTATATCAGCTAAACAAAATAAGAAGGCGATTTTTTGTGTTTATTTTTAGCATAAAATATTGCGACATAAAAATAAGTGCGTTGTTTTATACAAGGATATTTTTATTCCGGATTAAAATAAGGGCGTGAGTCAGTTTTTTAATTTCTTCCTTAACAATTCATTTTTATTATAATTACTTAGCTTATAAGTAAAAGGGCAAGAAAAGAAGGGCGTTAAATAAATGTCTTACAATAATTCTAAAAAAGTCAAAGTCACATGTCCTTATCGAAGGTTTTTTTTTTTATTTTATCTTAATCTTTGACAAATCATTACGTATTCGTAATAGAATTCAAAGGAATGGATCATGTTACGGTTTGGGTTGTATCCCAAATGATATATATAATGTCTTGTTTAGACCCAATACCCATAAATTAAAAATAACCTAAATAAATTACATGCTTTGACAGATAAAGGATAAAAAAGTAACCATTGACCAAAGAATAAGATTCAGGTACATGAATATTGGCTGAACAAAGGATTAAAAAAACTTCGATCAGATAAAAGTTGACATTTAGAGCAGTTAGTTATGTTTTTGTGGTTACCTGAGACCTAAAGTTTTCGTGTTTTGAATTATTTATGGTATTTTGCAACTGGCCAGATACAAAAACTTATAGATTAATAACACTTAAAAGTTAGGTATTCCATTTCAGAGAAAATATCCAAACACGATTTAAAACATTTTATTGCTAAAGCTTGAAGATTTTGCAATTAGGTATCCAAAACCAAATAGAAATTAGTAACTTAACATATATAGACAATGAATAATTCATTTTTAGGAAATAACTTTCTTTGATTTCACTTGACACTGGCCCAATCCGCTGTGGGAGAGCCATAAACAAGAAATAGAATAGAATTCATTGATTTTAAGTGTTCTTACATCTAAAAAAAAATTTGAACTTGACTTGGTATTTCATAAAGGCGACAATTAAGAAGAAAATAAATAGGGATGGATTTTAGTCTTTGCTATTTCAGGTTGTAATCTATCCCTAATTTATGGGATAAGTTACTAAATAGATATTCTTACTTCTCACTAGAAATGCTAAATTTAGAGGGATGCATGGATGTTTGTAAGTTTGTAGCCTAAACGGCTAAATGGATCTCCATGAAATGGAATAGACGTAGAGGTTAGTCTGGAAGAACACTCACTTTCTACTTTAGATACGCTGCCACTTTTATTTTTTTAAATTCCATCCGCGGACGGAGTCGCTGGCTAATCTAGTTTTAAATAAAGCGCGGTTGATGTGGCGGGCAATAGTAAACTGCCCCAGCTTCGTATCATCGCCGATAACCAAAGCTTAGTAATGTATTGCGTAAAACTTAATGAATTCACGTGTTACATAGATCAAGTCTCGTTATGGTAGGCCATGTTTAGCCGAGTTCGTCTATTGTCTGTCTACAGTTTTGTAGCGCGTGATTATCTTTTTTTAATGACGTTTTGAATTTAAAACAATGTTTATTATCTGTTTTGTAACACAGTGAGAGGTGAGCGTGTTGGGATAATTATAAAATATCGTTGTAAATCTCATTAGATTAGCATTTGTGATACAATCTTGGTTTGGATTTGTTATACATACATTTTACTTTTCTGGTCTACATTTGGGTAATTGAAATGTAAAAATGCACATTTTATGTTTGTGTTAGGATTCTTTCCTGTCTTTCAATGTAAAATGCAAATAATTTTAAAGAAATTACGTTGTTTATATTTTTTTTTATAAAATTGTGTTTGTTCTTAAAATCCAATGATAAATGTTACTATGAAAGGCGGATCTATATTCACAAAAATATTTAAACGTAATACATTACGAGTACAATTTCCTTATAGTTGTGTTATTTGATACCTTTCCAATGTTACGCAATGAGAACACGTGTTTAACATTCGTAATGAGAATAAATTTGGTAACATGTTCACGATCGTACAAACCAAAGAGTACGGAGATGCCATGCAATTTTGTTATAGATTTCACCTTTGTCTCGCTTATAACTAGCTGTTCCCGTGCGGCTTCACCCGCATGAAATTATGAAAATTGTATTCTATTGTTTACAATTGTCAAATTATCAATTGCAAATGTCAAAATTACATGACATGGTGACAAATCATGGCAATCTTGCTTTCTTAATGTTGGCAGCAACTTATGGTCTCATTCCCACATAAGGGTTTTTATCCAAAATATTTACCCCCTAAGTTCAATTGCATGAAAATATATAGCCTGAAGCGTGGTGTAAGTGTAGGGCTTTTTATTAAAAAAAGGATTATACAAAAATATGTTGTAATTACTGACATCTTAGGCAACAAAGAAGTGTGTGTTTACGCTTTATTATAATAGTATAGATAGAAATAGATAAGTATAGAGTATAGATGTAGTTTTTTAACCTACAAAGTTTACTTAAGGATACTTAGTTTTGCAGTTTGAGCAAGGACACAAATATTATTGCTTATAAATCCTTCTTGTCTCTCAGAGGCAAAACTTTCTAGCGTCGGAGCGACGACCGTATAGGAAGGTCGCGACTTCGTATCTGACTTGGGTCAATGATTTACTTGGAGTTGAAGCATTTATACAAGAAAATCGTTATACATTTTTTTCTAGCAATAATTAACTAGTTATATAGAAAGTAACAGCCGTAATCTCAACACACCTGCGTTGGTATTGTAAGACATTTGACATTATTAAAGCCTGATTATTTTTATTATTATTCTATTACACAGAAAAATGTAGAGCTTTTATAATTTGGTTGAAAAAAATGCATTTTATCGTTTTATTATTTTCGGACAGTAACATATCTTTGAAATTTGATTTAATAGTGCCAATAACAAATAAGTGCCCTAGCTTTGAGAATTTTAGATAACAACCCATTAAATTCTTTATTTTTATACATTTGATAGATAACTTGAATTTTATTGTTTCATATAACATGGCAAGTATGTATATACGCAATAGACATTTTTTATATTATTAAGTGCCGTCTCACATTGATAATAACTTTATATAAAACTGACTACAGCTCGCGTCTTCGTCCGCGTTAAAATAAATTGTAGCCTATGTTACTCACTGATAGCGTAGCTTTTCAATGG